AAAGGCTTTCCTTGTGCGATTTTACTATGTAAGCACTTAGCATTTTAACTTTATACGAAACGCTAACCCTAACTTTAATGAACTTTAAAGAATTTTACATGATGATCGGCAACATGCATAACCTGGCACAGATTTTTTTAATGCGATTTAAATAGGGACCCTGAATCTCAGCATAAGCCGGAGTGCGACTGTATTTTATTATTTGTATGTGTATTACTTGTTGTTCATCATTTTCAATAGCAAATCTTCAAATATTAAAGCTATATTTTTTTCGACTAGTGGTGTATATTCAGATCTCCGGCTCTGTATATTGCAACACCAGCGGTATACTTGATAGCACTTGAAGTGTTTTTGATGAATAAAATTGCGCAGAATATTGAAGCCAGTTTTTTTTACTAAACGAATTTTTGATAGTATGTGGATCTAACATTGGAGGTTAGTTACATTTATATAACTTTTTGTTAACAATCATTTTATCTATTTTATTGTAAAATATGAAAAGGTTTTATTAATAGGAAGTGTGTATGATAGATATAGTAGTGGTGTTATCTTAGGGTGTACAACGCTATAATAAATAAAAACATAGTCAGGGTAATATATGTTGATCATTATTTGCGGATTTTTTAAAGTTTGTACGGATTTTTTTGTGGTTATGAAAAATTTATTGGTATTTATACTATTCGTTAATAAATTAAAAGTATAAATTTTATATAATACTGTATATTTTTTTCAAATAATAAATCAGCATTAAATTCAAAGTATAAATTTTATAATTTATTTTTTTTCAAATAGTTTATTAAATAATATATCTGCATTATTTTCACTTAATGATATCAAGCTATTTGTAATTTCTTGTTGATGTTGAGTTTTTCTTTGCTTAGTTAATTTTTCAGTAGTTAAATTTACAGAATTCATATCAATATCACCTGTTGCCAAACGAAGTTTAGCAAGCTTTGTATTATCATGCATATTCATATGACACTTTAAATCATGTTTATTAAACAACCCCTCAATTTGCTGTTGATGAATTATTATGTACCATATTCAGAATTTAACAAATTCATAAATTAAAGGATATTTATATAATTGTCCTTTTAAGGATTTCGCAAAACAAAAAAATTCTTGCCTAAATTTAGAATCTTTGAGAGCATCATAAAGTCCAAAATCATTAAATTCGGTATTTTTATTAATATCTTCTTGCAATAATATTGAATAACAAAGAGCTTTTAATGATGGAATTCGAATCCAATTATTTTTTAAAATAACTTTTATATAGCTTAAAGCAAAATCATTTCCATTATTACTTCCTAAACGACATATACTAAGTGGTAAATGTATCCAATTACTCATCCAATTATTAAATGAATTGAGTGCTTTTTCTGCCCCATTAATTAAATTATAAACTAATTTTTTAAAATCATCATCAGTTAAAATATTTATAGCTTTTAATAGTTCATCACCGAAAAATATATATGTATTATTAATAATTGTTTATAACATTTTATTCCATTGAAGAATTGCATCTGGCATTTCATGTGCGCGTCTACCTGCTGGAAGTTGTTTAAGTTCTCCATTATCAGATAATATTCGAGGTTGTGGATCTGAAGTAACAAGAAAGGTTATAATTGGTTCATAAATTTTTTCGCCAAATTTAATAAGGCATTCAATTTGAATTTGAAGAAAAGGATCATTAATCCAATTTTGTAAAAGCTTCCACTTAGTAATATATGATGTGGGTGTTTTTTTTTTGTATATAATTTGCTTAAAAACCAATCTGTAAATATTTTAATTGATTCTTTGCTTTTAATAAATTGACGAGCAGTTTGAAGTTCATAAAGCCATCAGGTACGAAGTGGTTTTTGAAATTAATAAATTGAACTTTAAATAATTCATAGTAAAGATCTGATATATATTTATTTTTTATGTTTATTGGATTATCTTTATTGCTCTCATTGTATCCATTAAAAAGTTAACAAAGTAAATGTAAAAAATTAAATAGATGCTTTTGTGTTGAAAATCCAGTTTCTACTTTAAGTTTTCTAAATGCTGCATTCTCAAAATGGATCATCATAATATGTGCAGAGTGTAAACCGCAAGATATACGAAATGAAGATACTTGATTATTACAGTTAAATAATTCTATAGCTCTATTATATTTTCCAGACATGTAAGCAGTGTTGTCTGTAGTCCAAGTAAGACATAATTTTGGATTCAAATCATGTTTTTTACAAGAATTTAAAATACATTGTACAATTGATTGACCATTACAGCATTTAAGATTTTCTAATTCAAGCAAAACTAGATTTGGTTTATTTATTGTAATATCCCAAAATGTAAAACAAATAATAAAGATTTTTTGATTTCCACGTGTTGATTCATCAGCCATAATTCCATAAGCAAACAACTTTGATTCTTTTACAATTGAACATTTTTGATTTGTATATATTGCCGCAACGTCTTTATGCCATCCAACCAAAGTGTGTGCTGAAAACCACTTGTTTGGCTCTTCGCCAATTAACCATTCAATTACTTTTTTACTACATTCAGTTACAGACTTATATGACATACGGTCAATTTGGCATAATTGAGTTGCCATTTGAATTGTTCGAATATTATAGGTTGATTTTGTTTTCAAAATACGTTTTTTAACTTCTATTTTAAATTGCTTATCACTAATTACAGGGATCCTATATGCCTTAGACTTATATTGTTTTTGAATTTGTTTAGCTTTGCTTATCTTGCCATATAGTGATCGATTTTTATTTTTGAGAACTTCTACTTGACGAGTAAGTGATTGCATAGATCTTTTTATTAAATTCGAATCAATTTCAGGATGATAGAGATTTTTTTCAATAAAATCTTTTCCTTTTTTTTGTAAATAAGTAGAATAAATATGTCCAATTTGTTTACCTTTAGTATAACGCATTGAGCCAAGTAAAGCTAATGCTGGTTCTAAATCTTTTTCATCCAAATCAAGAACCATAGTAAGTAACTTATTCTTAACATAATTTTGTTGAGTTAATCCACTAGTAAGTTTAGCGGTGAATGTTACTATAACAGATAATAGTTCATTATCTATTTCACATATATATTCCATTAGTTTGTCAATATAATTTTGACGTTCTAAATTTTTTCTAAAATTAGAATCATCCATATTCATTGATTCGAAATTTGTTAATGTAAGCTTATCAGTTATAGTAATATTTGAATTGTCGTTTGATCCGCTTGTATTATTAGTATTGGATACTTCAAACATTTCAGTTGATGATATATTTTCAGGATTATCAGTAGATCCTTGATTTGACAATCTTTTTCGAATTTTTGCAAGATGTTTGCATTGCTTACGATGTTTTGAATTATTCGAGTATCTAGGCATTTTCATTTAATTAACAATGTACGTTAAATTTAAAATTTTGAATCGATTAGTAATTAAGTTATATATATATCTTATTAATGCATACGTAATAAAACATAACTATTGGTCTGAGTTAAATATTATATCTGAGTTAAATATTAATTTTGAATTTAATTATCTTCGTAATAGTTGAAGCAACTTCAAGGTACATTTTTTGAGAAAACAAGATTAATTATAGAATTTTTTTTTTTTTTAACATATAAATAAAAAAAAATTCTTTAATATAATAGAGCCGTTTTTTCTTTAAAGTTGCAAACTAACATTTTATTTATATTTATTATTATATTAAAAAATAACATATTTTTAAATCTATTTTTTTGGATTGTAAAATATTATTATTTAAAAATCGCTCTATTACATTGTAGCCCAAGCTTATATATATAATTTAACTTCTATATTAGTTATATTAATAAAGTCAATATGCTAAAAAATGTACCTGAAATATTTGTAATTTACTATTAAAATGGTACCTTTAAATTATTCGCGGATGCCATAGCAAAATCCGCAAATAATGATCGACATATATTACCCTAACTATGTTTTTGTTTATTATAGCACTGTACACCCTAATTTTCATGTATTATTGTTTTTTTCTATATATCATCGATCTATGCAAAAATCGATGACGTAGGTTAATTTGATATTATTTGATGCTATTTTAATACGTATTCTTGCTTGCTGTAATATTGCAATCGTTGGCATTTTTTATTACTTATTTTTTAATTTCTAACCTGAGTGGCATACCATGACTTTACTGAAATTAGTTAAAAATGAAATTGAGATTTAATTTAAAAAGGAATAATTAGTTTATACGTACAGTACTAGGGTGTTCTACGGCATATTTAATCAAACCTATGTAAGGTAACTATGTAATTTGTCATATTGCAGATTTTTTATGTTACACAAATGAAAACATTCAATTTTCAAATTTTTCAATTTTTATTATTACTATATTA